TTCAACGCTTTAAGGGCTATCCCTTGAGGACGGGGCGCCGGGTTGATGTGCCGGCTCTTCTGTTCGTCGTACAGCCTCTGTATCGCTGCGATGTAGGTGCGTACAGAGTTATAGGCGAGTTCGAGAGCCGGGGCGGCGATCAGGGGCTCGTTGTCGTCCTCCTCGAACTTGGTCGCTACCGCCGCAGGCGCCGGAGTAGTGGCAACTTCAATGGTCTCGCCTACTCAAAGGCTTAGCGGGGGAGCACAGAGCTGGTTACCCAGCCAACCGGCTAGGGAGCGCTACTTTCATCACGCCGTTGCCGTTTGGCGGCGGCAGCTTGTCCTACGGCCACAGCAGCGTCTAGGCGGCGTTTCCTCTGCTTCTCAAGGCGGTGCCCTTTCCGGGGGGCTCGGCTTACAACTTCCGTCTTCATAAAAAGGAGCAGCTTGCCTTCGTCGACAAGATCGCCGGGGAGCGGTCGCCCTAGCGGCCAGGTCGACTGTCTAACGGCCCAATCCTCAGGAATCGGGTCCCAATGCTTGAAGCACCAATCCTATCGTAGTATCAGAAATGGGATTGAGAGTCGTACCAGGAAGGGGACCAGCTGACCTTCCACTCTTGCTGTTTAGGCTTGTAGGTTTTGACTGTGTTTTGGGGCACCGTACCCTCCAGGTTTAGGAGATAATATTCCATTGCCTCGCGTATGCGAGCATCCTCAATTGCAGTGGCCGCCATAGTCATCGGGCGAGAAAGGAATGATTAGGGGTTTGTCCCAGGGTGGTAACCGTGGACAGCAGTGGTGTTTGAGTGCCGATGCTTTCTGCGCTGCGTAACGTTAGTTCTCGCCGTCGTCGCGTCTTTTGGAAGGTCTGCGCACGTAAAGTCTAGTCACGTGGCCTTCTACTTCGCCATTTCCTTCTGCGGGCCGCGCGCGTTTTGTATTGGGTTTTCCACGAGAAATCGAAGGCCCACCAAGACAAATGACCTGCAAGCTCGGAGCCGAATTTGGCGGGACCCACCGGTTTTTGGCGGATCGAAAACCGGGTTTTTGGTACGCTCGGACCTGTGATACCAAATTGTATGCAGTTTTTGCGTACCTGAATTGGTAGGACGCATTGAACTGGTCGCCTACAGTTCCGTGGTCTGCAATGTAACCCAAGATACCTGCATTATCAGCTGGGAGGGGCTTGTGAGCTTGACTACCCCCTGCACCTCCCCCTCTCCTTCAGAGGCATAACAGTTTGCTTCAACAACGCCTTACAGGTACGATATTCAATGTACGATGTACATTGGTGACAATGAAGCCGCAAGCGAACCTGGAGTTGACATCGCGGTGACCCAGCAAAGTGCCGTCTAAACGCCTTCCACCCGACGATCGTGAAGTGATGGATTTAGATCGATACTTGGGAGGTATCACAAACACCTACCGGCATTTCTACTTCTCCAATCCACCCGTCCTAACCCTGTCGCTGCAGCTCAGATCCCGCTTGACTTCAACAACCCAAAGCCATGGGTGCTTAGCCGACACATCGAGAACCTCGTCTCCAGGATTGAAGGCGAACCAGATAAGAAGGCGCAAAAGACGCGTCACAAGAATGACATAGGAGACTGCCACTGTAACGGGCTGGGCCCGGTGCGAGCCTCGGCGACTCTCGGCCAATACCAAGACCCCTGATGAGGCTATTCCCACTCGCCCCACAGCACACCGAACCTTCTAGCAACCGCGCTCAGACCAGCGCGCCGACGAGGATAAGTATGCTTGCGAGCTACCAGAGTCTGTCGTCTCTCCTTTTCTTCTCCAAGTTCAGTGTACTCGTAGAGTCGTCATCAGCTAGTTGCAATATACTACCTGAGACCGTTACATAGAGTCGTCATCAGCTAGTTGCAATATACTCGTAGAGTCGTCATCAGCTAGTTGCAATATACTGCCTGAGACCGTTACAGCCACCTGCACATGAGCTTCGCCGAGCTGCAGCGCATGCGCCTTCGAGAGCTTCAGTGCCGGCTCGTCAAAAGCATCGTTGACATGAGGATCGACCCTCGAACCGCCGCCGACTGGGAGGCCAATCTGAAGGAGTATAGTAAGCGCGGCTAGCAAGGGCACAAAGCAAATACAAATTGGTAACTGAGACGCGTTGACGAGCAGTTCAGGCGGTTCGCGACTATGACTTCATGACTGAATGTAGCCAGCGGAACAAAGGAGATAATATTAGAAAAAGAGAAATATGAAGTAAAGAAAAAGAATGGAGAGTAAAAGGAAAAAAAATAAGTACATAAGTCAGCCATATGACTGTTGAGTGGTGAAACGGTGAGATCTCTTGGCCGCAGGCTAAAAGATTGTGTCTAATAATGACGGCGGTGTCTCAACACTCGCATCTCCCTCGACGGCCAGTCCCACAAACACGACCAACACTGCAGCATATGCCAGTGTAGCTGCAAGAACCTCAGTCGGCTTCTCCATTCTCCAGGCCAGGATAGTCCCAAAGACAACAACAAAAGCCGTGGTCGTAATTAGGCAGGTGTTTCGAGTCGTGTGAAGCACCATTATCCACATGGGCGCAAGCAGAAACACTCCACCGATGAAGCTGAACCATAGCCGCCGGAAGAAGGCCCCATACCATGTCTTACGGATGCTGGCGTGCCGCGTGCCTCCAATGGGGTTCCTCCTTGACTCCCACGATCTCGACCAGGGCGCCGCTCCGAGTGGGACCACAGGATCCAGAGCTTTGAACTCGTCTTCGGTCTGCCATGCGTTACGCAGCCAGGCGGCTCGCTGCATTATTTCGTCGTCGGTCAGCCGCTCGGCCGATACGTCGAATGGGTCGTTAGCTTTTCCTTTCTTTGTTATAAAGACCTAACGTACATTAACGTATTGATTGATTTGAATTATAAGGAGCTTTGAAGATGGGTGCCACCCAACTCTTGGTACGGTCGGGTCTTTTGAGAATCAAACGGTTCTGTCAATCCGTGCACCATCAGACGCCTGAGCATCATGCTCTTCGCAAGGTGAACATAAAAACTCAATTCTCCAGAACTGATGGAGATCCAGAGACAACAGAAGATGGTGATCATCAATGGTGGTGGTTCATACAGTCGTGATCCTGGATGCGTGATGGCTCTGGTGTGGGCAGGGCTGTAACCCCTGCACCAGATGTGGGGCAACCCGGTCTGCCAAGGATGTGGGGCACCACCCACAACACCCCCCCACAGACCGAGAGGACCACCACAACGAAGCTATCACAAACGCATCCATCGCTATGTACATACATTTACCCTGGTGTTGAGGCCGTTCCTCGATCCCCAATCACGTGAAGTTAAACAAATCTGTCAAATACTGCGGAAATCGCGTTTTTGGGCGATTCGCAGCGTGGGCTTACTTGCCCAATCCTCCATGTGATCCACCCTGTCCGGCATCCTCAATCCTCCTCAAGGTGCCCAAGGTATCTTCTTCTCAGCCATGCCAAGCATCTTGACGAACTTGTCATGTTTGTCTCGCATCAACGGCTTCGTCAGCCCATTGGCTGGCATCTCCGTGCCCTCAATATGGCGGATGTCAATCTCGCCACGGCCGACTTGGTCGATGATCCACTTGTATTTGATGTCAATGTTCCTGGTGCGAGCCGGCTTGTTTGGATTCAGCGTGGCCGAGTACGCATTGAGGCTGTCGGTGAATAGGACGGCCGGCGTTGGCTGCTTTGCACCGCACTCCTCCAGGATCTTCGCTACCCATTTGACTGACAGGGCAGCGGGCGTCAGGTTGGTAAATTCAGCCTCCGTGGTGCTCAACGCCACGAAGGTCTGCTTCTTAGTCTTCCAAAGAACTGGCCCACCCGCCACGAAGACGATGTGGGCACCAGTTGAATGTCGCGTTGGTAAGCGGTCTGCAAGTGACGCGTCGGCGAACGCCATCAACAAAAGACTGCTCCCAGTGAGCGTCTTGTCGCCCAGTTCAATGCCGTAGCTCTTGGCGCCTTTGACGTAACGGAGCAGGTGCTTCTTCAGCTGAATATGCTCTTCAGAGGGCCCTGCGTTTGCCTCCGCAAAGGCGCGACATCGTGTACGCAATGTCGGGTCTGGTCCCGGTCGAAAGCCAATTTCCCGATCCGGTGCTTTTGATGTATTCCTTGACGACGCGACGGTCTGTCGGCGGCGTCCACGTTGTCGGAAGCTCAAACTTCGGCGGCCACGGCATAGCAACCGGCTGACAGTCGAGCATGCCCTCCTTTGCGAGCCAAGCCGTAACAAAGCTCTCCTGGGAAATGAAGATCTTCCTTGCCTTCCTGTCGCGCAGGATGTCAGAGCCAAGGAAGCGTTTGACCTCGCCGAGACCCTTCATATAAAAGCGCTCACGTAGTTCGTCCCGAATCTGGTGGATCAGGGCTTTGGTACGGGCAGCAATGAGCAAATCGTCGACGTAAAGGACGACAAGGATACCGCGCTTGCGGTGGATGAATAAGCAGATGTCCGATTCAATGCTCTGGAAGCCGATTTCTTCCATGACCGGCCTGATTGTATTGAACCAGTAAAGTGGGCTCCCGCGCAAGCCGTAGAGAGCCTTGTTCAGTTTGCATACAATCCCCAGCGGGAAGCCGAGATGGGGAGGCGGCTCGACGTAGTATTCCACGTCAGGAGGAATGTCAGAGTTGAGGAACGCGGTTCTGAAGTCTTCTTGTTCGCATTCGAGATCCCAGACTGCCACGAGGGCAAGGAAAGTCTTGACAGTTACGCTGTGAACAACAGCGGCGTAGACGTCCTGTGAGTTCCAGGAACCCTGCTCAAAGTTACCACAAACCACCCATCTCGTTCGTGGGGTGGTGATGACGGTGGCTGGATCTATTCTCGTCGAAGACCCATTTGGTTGGGAGAACTTGCATCCAAGCCTGCCTCTCAACCTCATCAAAGACGCGTCGGTCGCGCATGCTCTGCATCTCCTTCTTCATAAGTGGAAGCCAGTACTCGTCGTAGTCTGGCCGTTGTTTGGCTTGACGCCAGTTCTTCGGTAAATCAGGACGCAGGAACAGCGCATTGTCGTGTTCAGCCTTCATGCTGGAAAGCACGAAGATAATGGGTTCTTCTGGTGGTGCTGGCTCAACAAGATGACCAGCAAAGAAGGTCTGACCAGGAAGCTTGCCATCGTTGAGCAGCTTGTAGAATCCTGACTGTGACGCGTCACCGCCGTATTTGGCCTTCTGACGGCGCGGGCGCCCCCCCACAGACTCGTTGGGTTGCGCATCTTCGCGTTGTTCTTGGTGTTGTTGTTTTTCATCGCCATTGTCGGAATGGATCAAATCGCGCATTCCCGGCACCAGCGGATTGTCTAGTGGGATAGGAGCGTCGTCGTCGAGGCTCATTGACGCATCAATAAGCTCATCTTCGACAGAAGAATAGGCGTTGTCATCGTCCTTCTTAGCAGGGCTGTCGGGGCCTGCGTTGGAGTGGACATCATCGTGACCAGAAGCGGGATCCGAGCCGCAATCGGGTGCTGGCTCTGGGGTCGTCTCTGGGGTGGGCAAGTGGGCCTCCGGCTGGTGATCATCTTCAACGCCGGTTAATCCAGTGCTGTTGTCGTCGACAGCCGCATTGCGGTCATCGCCAGTATTGTTGTCGGGCCGGAATAGCTCTCGAATGGCCACCCGCCGTGTGGTCTTGTCAGGGTCGGTAACGGTCACCCACTGCCGGATTGCTTGCTCTTCTTCCTCGGTGGTCGGGTCCGTGAAGAAGACCTCATGTTCCGCTGTTGACGCGGGATCGTAGCGATCTTCGTCGGGCTTCGCGTCCGGACCTTCGTTGAACCGAACCGCGCTCGCTCGTATCACTTTGCCCGTCTCCGGGTTCCATATCCAGTATATTTTGCCGTGAAGATCAGCATAGCCGATCAAACGGCCCTTCTCCGCTCTGGGAGCCAGCTTCTGAGATTGCACTCGTTTCTGTAACTTGATGAAGTAGTACGCCGTACAGAAGTACGCTCTGAAGTGAGCAATGTATGGCTTGCGCGCAGAAACCGGCATATTGACGCCGGTGGCGAATACCTCATGTGGGCTCCGTGAGTCCGTATTGCCTGTGGTCGGCAGCGCGTTCTTGACCTGAATGACCGTCTCCATGACGAAAGGTCCAGAGATGCACTGGGATGTTAAGCGACAGAACTGTCGCCCTAGTCTTATCGAGAACGTCACGAGCAGCGCGCTCGATCTTGCCGTTCATCCACGGTGTATGTGGTGTAGTCTTCATGACGATGATGCCTTCCGACCTCGCCCACTTGTTGAATTTGTCGTCGACGAAAGGTTCAGTGGCTTGACCAAACTCAGATCCGCCGTCAATACCAATCATCCTGATCCATCGGCCAGTTTGTGTATGTATCATCTTGGTCCAGTCTCTCAGAACCACAAAGATCTGTTGGAACCTGCAGGGCGACGACCGCTCAGATATGCGCTGGAAGAAGCTATTCCCAGTCAAAGCAGTGGATTGAATTTTTAAGGTGGTAAAAGTGATTGATTGACCATCCTGTTGATGGGCATGGGAGAGGACTAAGTATGTAAGGAAGAGGGGTTGCGGTGCTGGCACCAATCAACCACCAAGGTCCGTTGAATGCAGCCATCAAGGCGGCTTCGTTCCGACAAGATCTCCTTTTTCGACCGGGCAAAATTGACCCAGTGGTAATTGGAGTGAACATCAATGATATGGACGCTAGAGCGGTAGCCCAACATAGCAGGAGGGCTGTGGCTGACGACATCCACGCGTATAAAATCGAGAGGTTGCTCGGCTTGGATGGGAGCTTCCTTGCCGAGCTCGTCTGTCATCTTCCCACGGACGCAACCCTCGCAGAAGTCGTCGCCCTTGTGGGTCAAAGCAATGCCTGCACGCCGACAAGCCTCTGTGATTACGCCCTTACTGGCGTGGAGGAGACGGCTGTGCATCTTCATGTACGGCACCACTGCCAAGGCGACGGTAACCGGGTGTTTGTTGTTGGTGTTGGGCCTCGCGCCCTGAATGGCCGGTACGCCGTTGAAGTTGTACAACTCCATCAGCATTTGGCCGGTATCAGAATGGTAGAGCGTGTCGTTCTTCTGGTTCCAAAGAACGCCCTGCATCTTGAGCTTATAACCCCGGGATAAGGTTACAAGGTGAAGAAGGCTGGTAAACTGCTCCTCCGAATTGTAAAGTGGCGGTATTACCCGCCGGTAGCCGCACGACGAAGTTGACGGTGCCTCCAACAGAAGACTCAATCAATTCGCCGTTGGCTGCAAGTGATGTACATGGACGCGGCAGTCGTTTGAGGCTGGTGAACCACTTCTTGTCGTTGAAGATGAAAGAAGCTGCGCCCGAATCGTATATGATGACGTCCTTGAAGTGGGATAGATCCGGCTTGGTTGCGATCGCCTTGAGGGCCTGTTGGACTTCAGCGCTCATAAGAAGCGCCGGGGGCCCGGGATAAAATCCCTGTTGTCGTTGTTGGTCGTAGAAAAACTAGTAAACGCGAAGTTGTATTGATGATCATCGTCATCATCATGGTTGGTCGTGAAGAGAAGGTTTGACGGCTTGGGACCCAGGGAAGCCGCAACACCAGACTGTTGATGCAATGGACCAGCTGTAGCTTTGGCGTTGAGCTCACGGAGCTTCTTCTCCTGAATCGCAATACTCTTCCACTTCCACGTATCCTTTGCCTTCTCGGGATGGCACCACCAACAGATGTCGCCAACCCAATGCTTGTCGCAGTCCGTGCAGTGCTTGAAGCCCTTGTCGATGGACTTGTTGCACGTAATGCAAGTGACGCGCTCCTTGTTGTTGTCGTTGGACTTGTCCTTGTTATCGTCTTTCTTGCTATCCTTCTTCTTGCTAGACTTGCCGTTGTCGTCGGTCTTGACAGAAGACATGGTGGGTTGAGCCGCCTCGGAGACAGCCAGTTGCTGAAGCTTAGCTATGATGTCGGACCAAGCGATGGTCTTGCTCTCGATGCCAGACACCATACGGTTGTAAAGATCTGGGTATTCCTGCTGGAAGCCTTTGATGGCCATCCAACAGTAAGCCTTCTCGTCGAGTTTGAACTCAGTGACGTTGATGCGGCCACGTAAGTGGTTCAGTCGATGCGTGAACGACTCCATCTTGTCGTAGCTGCTGCGACGGATGTTCATGAACTCCTTCATCATGTTGTAATTGGTATCAGCGGCGCCCTTCTGGAAGTACTGCGTGAGCTCCAAAAAGGTGTCTTTCGGATCGTTGGCATCGGCGTCCCAGCCCATGCCGATCAAATTGGTCCAAATCTTGTGGTCCGGGACAGAGGTTTGGATGTAATCCCCAACGTCTGCCCTGTCGTTCTTCCAAACGCGTCGAAGTTCAGCGTCTTCGGGCTCCGGAAGGTCTTGAAGAATGTGCTGATCAAGGTCGACGCGGTTGAGGTTCCGGATCAACTTGCCCCTCCACGTCAGGTAGTCCTCCGCCTTGGTAAGCTTGGTTGTCGGTGGGATGACGCGACGCATTGTCTGCGCGACGCCATTGAGGTTCTGGGCCAGGAACTCGCCAAACAAGGCGTTCAGTTGCGCTGGCGTGAACTGGGCCGGTGCAGCCGGTGGCCCGGCGTTGCTAGCCATCTTGACCAAGATGCTGGCAACGATGTAATGTCAAGGAAGGGGTCAAACCACCCACCACCGACTTGGTGATCAACGGAAGACGATGTAGATTGTAGAGGATGAAATCGAGAGGACCCTGACCAAAGAAAGCCGTAATGCGGTCGGCGATACCTTCCGGCAAGAGAGTCGCAATGTACTGTGAAAGCCACCGAAGCAAAGCGGTTGAATAGCAAATCCGAGCTTCTTCAACAGCTTGTTGATGAGAGCTCATCCGGGGTGGGTTGATCCTTGATGCCAAGATGCAGGATCCTAAGAAGAAGTCGGCAAAATGCGATGAAATCGCTGTGGTATCGCTGACGCAAAGGAAATTGACGACGGTAAAATCGGAGATAATATCGGAAAAGTTGTCAGTTGCTCATTGTCAGTTGCTCAGAGAAGCATCAGAGGACTCATGACCTGATGGAGATCCAGAGACAACAGAAGATGGTGATCATCAATGGTGGTGGTTCCATACAGTCGTGATACTGGATGTGTGATGGCTCTGGTGGGCAGGGCTGTAACCCCTGCACCAGATGTGGGGCAACCCGGTCTGCCAAGGATGTGGGGCACCACCCACAACGTTAGGTCGCCACGGCTTTCCGGCTGTATATAGCAGATTATGCGGCAGATTGCGGAATATCGATCCATTCTCATCGCGGCCGCCTATGACCGCTGTCCTTACCTTGCAGCAGAAGAAGCCTCAGGTTCTGGCGGCCGCTCCGGCAGAGTTGAAGTCGAGGATAACCCTGCCAAATCCCCTTTTCCCGCGTCATTAAGCCAGGCGTCACTCATCATCGCGGCGCGGGAATTGGCCAATGATCGCATTCTCACCAGCAACGAATGGAAAAGAAAGACGCTGACTCGACATACGAACGGATAGATGTGCCGATGGGGCTGGAGGCGTTGACGACAACGATCGGTGCCGAGACTGGCCAGCTACCTACCGGTACTCTAAGCAACGTTATTTACGGTCCTGGGTGTGTGCAATGCAGCCTCAGCGCCGCCATTGTCCCTCTCGGCTTCCTCCTCGTCCGTGGCCCCCTCGGTCATCCCAAGCTTGCACCGCCAGTCGCTTCGCCACGTCCATCGCGGAAACGCCCGGGGCCGAGACTTGCTTATTATTTCGGCTGAGGATGCTGGTCGCTCCGACAAGTTGCATACCGTTCGTGGTGGGCCAAGACTGATCCCTCCGGCGTTTCAAGGCATTCAGGACGGTTCGTTTGCTTTGCAGGTGACGGCGGTTGAGATGTTGCGGTAACCCTGAGTGAATCATGAGTGACCGCCTGTTCGGTTTGGAGTTGGCTAGGGCTCCATCTAGGGATGTTTCCGGCCCGCCCTCATTCAGCTGCAAGAAACAAGACGTGTTCGGGGTGTCAGCGGGAGGTCGATGTTCCGCAGCGCTACGACAAACCTCGAGGGCGGCTGAAGGAGCCCACGCCAATGGATCGGGTCTAGATGGCTCCCGTTTCGTCCTACCCAAGATCGCGCCACCGAACACCGGTCTCGAACCCGAGCCTCAGCCCAGCGACTGAGTGTCCTGTGCTATTATGCTTTTTTATGCCTGGATATGGCAAAGCTTGGTGTTGGGTGCTTTGCCACCCCTCCGTGCCCAACCTATCATGGATTCCACCCCGTCCCTCAGTTCGCTTTCATGCTGCTCGTACATACAAATACAATTCGGCAGCTGGAGCTTGCGGCATCAGGCCTGCTAATTCGATCTGCATCTGCCTTCCCTCACATACCAATTCGTCACTTGTTGACCGGGTTCCGACCTACTAACATACTTCTGGGACGCTTCTTCGGGAAAGCCGTCGCCCCTGTCTTCCTTTCCCGGTCCACATTATCGGCACATTTCTGGTGTTCTATCTAGCAATAGTTGCGCTTCCCCCTTCTTCCCGATTCGCTTATTGAGCTTGAAGTGAGCCAACTATCACGCTTCCAACCATGGCTTCTACTCTATTCCTCCTCGCCCTCGCCCCCGCGGCCGTCGTCCAAGGTCTCCGCTACGACCCGGCCTTCATCGATTACAACCTCAACCAGAGTAAGGACGCAATAAACCCCTTAGACTACTCAGCCGAACGACCCGGCCACACCTACCACCCATCACCCTCCGACTGGCGGTTTCCGTTCTATACACTTTTCCTCGACAGGCTCGCTGACGGCAATCCGTCAAACAATGATATCAACGGGACCGTCTACGAGCAGGACATCACGAGCAATCAGCTGCGGCATGGCGGCGACGTGCAGGGGCTTCTTGATAGTCTGGATTATATCCATGGCATGGGGATGAAAGTAAGTGACTCTTACTGCGCGCTATAGTAAAAAAAATAAATAAATAAATAAAAGGAAAAATAAAACATACATGCTGACCTTGTAGGGCATATATATTGCTGGTTCCCCGTTCATGAACCTCCCGTGGGGTGCGGACTCTTACTCGGTGAGGCTCCGCAGAGAAGACATTACTATTTGCTTCTGCTAATACAGAGTAGCCCGTGGATCTCACACTCCTCGACCATCACTATGGCACGATCAGGGAATGGCAGGAAATGGTCGATGCGGTCCACAAGAGGGGAATGTACGTGATAATTGATCACACCATGTCCACGTAAGTTGTCGCCCGGGTCTCCTGGCATCGGGGGACCATCCTACTGACCCGAGCGAGCCTGATAGCATGAGCGACCTGCTCGCGTTCAAGGGCTTCGAAAACACGACCGCCCCCTTCCAACTCGGCGAGCATGAAGTCAACTACAAGGGGTCCCGGCAGTATCTCGACTTTCATCCTTCTAACAACTACCTCAAGAAGTGCGACTACCCGCGATTCTGGGACATGACCGGTTCTCCAGTCGGCCAGGACGTTATGGACCAGCTCGGCGGGTGTTACGATAGTGACTTTGACCAGTACGGCGACATTGAAGCTTTTGGCGTCTTCCCCGACTGGCAGCGTTCCCTGGCCAAGTTTGCCAGCGTGCAAGATCGCCTGCGGGAGTGGAAGCCTTCGGTGCGGGACAGGATCGCGCACTTCTCTTGTCTCAGCATAATCATGCTCGACATCGACGGGTTCCGGTACGATAAAGCCACCCAAATCACAGTCGATGCTCTTGCTGAGCACAACGATGCGGTCCGTGCCTGCGCTAAGAAGGTGGGCAAGGACAACTTCTTCCTTCCCGGGGAGATCACGGGCGGCAACAGCTACGGCGCCGTCTACCTTGGCCGCGGCCGTCAGCCGGACATGCGTCTCGAGAACACGTCCCAGGCGATGAACCTGACCACCAAAGCGCTCAACAAGGCCGGAAACGGAAAGCAGCTGGTGATCCGAGACGAAGGGAAGGGCGCGCTCGACGCAAGTGCTTTTCACTTCAGCACCTACCGCTTTCTTACCCGCTTCGTCGGTCTGAGCGGAAACTTGGAAGCCAGCTACGACCTGCCGCCCAACTGGGTCAACATGTGGAGCGAGATGCTGTTGACCAACGACTTTGTGAATGCCAACACAGGCGAGTTCGACCCGAGACACATGCACGGCACCATGAACCAGGACGTGTTCCGGTGGTCGGGCATTACGCAGGGTACAGAGCGCATGCTGCTTGGCTTCTTCCTGACGACGTTGCATATGCCCGGCATCCCGCTTGTGTTCTATGGGGAAGAACAGGCGCTCTATGTGCTCGACAGTACTGCGGACAACTACATCTTTGGACGGCAGGCATTCACGCCTACCCAGGCGTGGAAGATGCACGGTTGCTACGCCGGCAGCAGCTCCCATTACTACAATTGGCCGGTCGATGACGCCCGGCGTGGATGCGAGGACCCCAAGGTGGCCCTGGACCACCGCGACCCGTCGCATCCCGTGCGCAACAGTCCATGTACGCCATGCGCGAAAAATACTCCACCTTCCGCGACGCCTGGCTCTTGCAATCCTTGAGCAACCAGACTGAATTGGTGCTGCTGGAGGGTTCCAACAAGACCTACACCGAGTTCGGCATCTGGAGCGTCGCGCGCGCCTTCCAGCCGGGCGTGCAGGGCCAGTTCGCGTCGAAGCCGGTCTGGCTTGTGTACCACAACCGCAACGAGACGACCGAGTATACGTTTGACTGCGGTGGCGGCGACGAGACCATGGCCTTTTTTGCCCCATTTGATCAAGGCGCCAAGGTCACGAACCTGTTCTCTCCGCATGACGAGATCACGCTGGGCAGCTCGAACAAGAGGTTCGGCTTCGCCGGGTCGAGCGAGAACAGCGGTTGCGTCTCCAAGATCACGATGAAGCCGTTTGAGTTCCGCGCCTATGTCGAGTCGGCTGACTTTGTCGGCGTGCCGCCCATGATTACCAAGTTCAGTCCGGGTCATGATAGCCAGCACAACGCGGATGAGATCAAGGGAAGTCTCGATATTGCCATTGAGTTCTCGGAGGAAATGGACTGCAATGATTTGATGGATGCTATTTCGGTCTCGTCTACCGTCGAGTCCGGTGTCCTGGGGAATGCGCGGGTCATCGAACCGAAATGCGCGGCGGTGCCGGAGACAAGAGGGACGGAATACGTCGGTTTTGTACCATCGCGGTGGCGCTTCAGTGCCAAGCTGACCGGCCTGAACGACGGCATCCACGAAATCATCGTTGACAGGCCCGCAGCCAGCGCTGGGAAGAGGTCTACCAACGCCACCGATCACTTCTTGCTCCGGGTTGGAAAGCCGAATAACCCGATCGTCTTCCCCGAGTCGGCCGATTACTCCCCCGCGCTTCTCACAAAGGAGGGCAACGATCTCTTCGTCAACCACGTGGCCGCCGGCGCGGATAAATGGCGGTATTCGACGAACTGGGCCTCATCGTGGAGCGAGTGGGTCGAATACAAGGGCGGCAAAGACAAGATCGACCCTCTCCCCTGGTCCGGCACCCGAATCCAGGCCTGGGACGGCGACCACGTCAAGGTGCAGTACTGGTCCAAGAAGCTGGGCAGCAGCTCGTTCCGACAGGAAGGTGACAGCAACCCCGGACAGCAAAAGGAACGTCGTTTCCCAAACCTTTTCGCGCACGGAACGCGCAACAAGTTCGGCTTCGACGCCGGCATCAAGAACCAGTTCTCTCTCAACGACAACGGCGAGTGGGAGTTGCACCTGATGGACGAGTGGCCGACGCAGTTTCAGCTCAACGTCTGGGGCATGAATCCCGACCAGAAGCCCGACGCCGGGTTTGTGTATGGCGACGTCGAGGGCGATGGCGTCCTCGATCGCCTGCCGCCCACGTCGCTCGCGCCCAACGTGCTCAACGCGAGAGAACCGCCGCCGATGCCCGCGCTCTCGTATAAGCTTGTCTTTGACGACCGGACGTTGCGCTTCACAAAGGTCCCGCAGGGCAACATGTGGCTCCAGATCATTATGCTCATCCTGCTGGCCGTCCTCCCAATCGTCGGTGGCCTTCTTGCCGTGTGGATCTTCATGGGCTCGTTCTACAAGGTCAAGATCAACAGGATCGGATTCAAGCGCCGCGGCCAATCGTCCTATGCCACCCTCCACAACCGGCTGAGCGCCATCTCCCTTGAAAGCTTCCGCCGCGACGACAAAGACGACGCCACAGAGCTCGCCGCTGTCGCTGTTCCCGGCAAGCGGAGAAAAGTCTTAATCGCCACTATGGAGTACAACATTGACGACTGGGACATCAAGATCAAGATTGGTGGGCTGGGCGTCATGGCGCAGCTAATGGGGAAAGCGTTGGAACACCAGGACCTCATCTGGGTCGTCCCGTGCGTCGGCGGCATCGACTATCCCGTCGACCAGCGCGCCAAACCCATGGACGTGCCCATCATGGGGAAGAAATACGAAATTGAGGTGCAGTACCACCAGGTGACCAATATCATGTACGTGCTGCTCGACGCGCCCATCTTCCGTCAGCAGAGCAAGGCGGATCCGTACCCGCCGCGCATGGATGACATCGACTCGGCCATCTACTACTCGGCTTGGAATCAATGCATAGCGGAAACCATCCGCCGATTCGATCCTGACCTGTACCACATCAACGATTACCACGGCGCCGCGGCCCCGCTCTACCTCCTCCCCGACCGCACCATCCCCTGCGCCCTGTCTCTTCACAACGCCGAGTTCCAGGGCATGTGGCCGATGCGCAATCCCGAAGAGTCCAAGGAGGTCTGCGAGGTGTTCAACCTCGATCCCAAGATCGTCAAGGACTATGTTCAATTCGGTTCCGTCTTCAACCTCCTCCACGCCGGCGCCAGCTACCTTCGGCTGCACCAGAAAGGGTTCGGCGCCGTGGGTGTGAGCAAGAAGTACGGCGACCGCTCGTACGCGCGCTACCCCATCTTTTGGAGCCTGTCCAAGATCGGGCAACTGCCCAATCCGGATCCGAGCGATACGGCCGAGTGGAAGCGCGACGAGGAAGTCGAGGAGCAGCATGTCGTCGTAGACAACGACGCTGAATCCCAGCGCGGCGAGTTCAGGCGGCAGGCGCAGGAATGGGCCGGCCTGGAAGTCAACCCCGATGCCGAGCTGTTCGTGTTTGTGGGCCGGTGGTCGCTACAGAAGGGGGTGGATCTGATCGCCGATATCTTCCCCTCGATCCTCGACAAGTATCCCAGCACACAGCTGATTGCTGTCGGGCCAGTCATCGATCTCTACGGCAAATTCGCCGCGCTCAAGCTTGAAAAGCTCGCAGAAAGATACCCCAAGAGGGTGTTTAGCAAGCCCGAGTTTACATCGCTGCCGCCGTATATTTTTACCGGTGCCGAGTTTGCGCTCATCCCTTCTCGCGATGTATGTACCTACCTACCTGGTACCTAGCTTAAGCACTTTAACGATCCAGACTGGATCGACCAGTGTTATTTTTACCCCTAGGCGCAGTTGCTAACCATGTATGATTTTCAGGAACCATTTGGCCTGGTTGCGGTCGAGTTCGGGCGCAAGGGCGCGTTGGGCGTGGGTGCACGTGTTGGTGGCTTAGGTCAGATGCCGGGGTTCTGGTATACCGTCGAGTCGACGTCGCCGCAGCATCTGCTACACCAGTTCCGCGAGGCGATTGTAAGTGCCTTGGAGTGCAAGACCAAGGCGAGACAGGAGATGAGGGCGTGGAGCGCCAAGCAGCGATTCCCCGTCGCGCAGTGGGTTGAAGACCTCGATCGGCTCCAGGGCAAGGCCATCCGATTGCATAATCGGGAGAGCACGAAGCGGAAGAAGATAGCCAGCAGGCCATTGCTTAGGGTTCCCGGAATGGGCGGGAATGAGCAATATTATGACGACTGTCGATATGGGTTTTTCACCCGGCCCACGAGGGCGCGGTTTTCCTGTATAGCAAGTTGTTGAAGGTCCGGCAAGCCCAAGGGCACAGCGGTGTAGGAATAATATATAATATTATGACGACTCGTGTGCCGGAACATCGCGGGAGTCTGCCGATCTGGGAACGCCGCCCCGGCTGGGGACCAGTCACGCACGTTCGTCGAGCCTGGCAGTGCCGCGCATTAACGCCCCCGATGGCCACAACGTCGAGAACCACCGGCGATCGGTGTCAGACCACTTCGCCGACCGGCCATCTCCGCACCCAGGAACGCCTCCTACAGCTGGGAGCGACCCCTTCGTGGCGCGGAACCCCATGTTTTCCAACCCATCCGCCATGTCGTCCGCCGCAAGTCTAATGACTATCGCCCCCAACGACCCGAATCAGTCCCACCCGAGAGATGACAGCCTCGCGATGCGCATCATGTCACCCGACGGCCCCGAACGACGCCTACCAGAACCTTTTGGCCTCTCGCCCGACTACAACCCCCAGACCCGCCCGGGCGCGCACCAACTGTACCAGAACCGCGAATACAGCAGCTCACGCCTGTCTGTCGTCGATGTCGTCGGCGAGCGGAACGACTTCAGGCTGCAAAAGGTCGACCCCTTCTTCAAGGATAGCACCGGCCAGTACTACGCCGCGTTCGAGCAGAAACTGTCCGGGCTCAACGCCAAGAACTCCGAGACGGAACTGTGCATCGACGACTACCTCAAGGCGTCGGAGAAGCAATGGGCCAAGGACTTGCGCGAGGCGAAGCTAGGTAGGGACCGCAGCCCGAGCCGCACCCGCGGCAGCAGTCGCGCACCCGGCCTGGTGGTCAAGAAGAACCGAGACCGGCGCGGCGCCAGAGTGATCAGCGTCCACAGCACCGCACCCTCGGCGGAAGGCGACCAAGACATACTGTCGGGTTCTGGTGAGGATGACGAGTTCCTGCTCGGCGACGGCTACAAGCCGCCTAGGGGCCTCAAAAAGTTGTTGTCGATCCGCGTCGGCGACTGGCCAGTCTACTCCTTCATCCTGGCCTTCGGCCAGATCATCTCCGGTAACTCGTACCAGGTCGTCTTGCTCGCTGGCGAGGCGGGCCAGACGGCAAATCAGCTCTACATCATCGCCGGCACCTATGCGGTCACGTCGGCACTGTGGTGGCTCGTATTTCGGCGCTTTACCGCGCTGTATCCGTTGTCGCTGCCATGGTTCTTCTATGGTCTCGCCTTTGTGTTGATTGGCGTCACACCGTTCCTGCCAGAGGGGAGTAGGCCGGCGGTGCAGAATACCGCAAGCGCGGTGTATGCAGCAGGTGCGTCAAGTGGCGCGCTGTTCTTCGCATTGAATTTTGGTGATGAAGGTATGGTTACCTAGTCTTCTTCCTCCCTACCTCGGTGATCATATTTGCTGACCGAGACTGAGAAAAAGGCGGCGCACCTATCATGACCTGGATCTTTCGCGCGGCCGTCATTCAGGGGGTCCAGCTCCTCTACCAGGTCGCCCTTTGGTTCTGGGGCAGTCTCAACACCTCACAGCACCCTACGGGTCTGCTCAACGGGAGCTTCATCGCCAATGAGGTCCCCACGCTAGTAGTCATCACCGTTCCACTCGCCCTGGTATTCTGGGCCTTCGGCATCATCTCGTATCTAGGGTTACCTGATTATTACCGCCAATCCCCAGACACCATCCCATCCTTCTACACGTCGCTGATCCGGCGCCACATCGTCCCCTGGTTCCTGCTCTATGTGGCGATCCAAAACTACTGGCTGACAACCACCTACGGCCGCTCCTGGGACTTCCTGTTCACCACCAAAGCCCTCCCCGGTTACGCGGTTGTCCTGTTGACCTTGGGATTCTTCTCCGTCCTATGGGCCGCCGGCCTCTGGGCCTTCTCTTTCTTCTCCCGGACACACCCGTGGATCGTCCCCCTGTTCGGCATCGGCCTCGGCGCCCCCCGCTGGGCGCAGATGCTCTGGGGCACGTCTGGGATCGGCCTATACCTGCCCTGGCTTGGATATCCGGTGGCGTCGGCTCTCGTATCGCGCTGCTTATGGCTCTGGCTTGGCTTGCTCGATAATATCCAAGGCGTCGGTCTCGGCATGGTTCTGCTCCTGACGCTGACGAGGCAGCACGTGGCGGCTACGCTGCTCGGTGCGCAGGTATTGGGTGCCGTGTTTACCATCCTTGCGAGGGTTACAGCGCCCCACAATATTGGACCGGCCGACGTGTTTCCCGACTTCTCTGAGGGCGTGCTACCGGGCTTGGCGAAGCTGTGGTTCTGGGTGGCGCTGGTTTTGCAGTTGATTCTGCCGGTTGGGTTCTTCAAGTTCTTTAGGAAGGAGCAGGTTTCTAAGCCGTGACGGCGTGCTTGGGGCTGGGGTACCTAGGGAATAGGGCGTATAGATTGTACATAAGAAGCAGTCAGCTACACCTACTGTTGAGACGACTGCTTATTAACTCGTTGTAACCCTTTGGCTTCACCGGATGATGCAGGAGGCACCAGAGGGATGGCATGGTATGGGTGTAACTGAATTGTTGGAATGAAGAAAATGAGGATTCAGACAGAGAAGTCGGTGTCGCGCGTCCTACATGCAAGATAAACTGGCATGGAGGTGCTGAGCGCGCACAGACCATTGCAGCGGGGCTACTCTACATAATGCCTTCCGGTATCACCGGACCTTCGCCCGTCAAGTGAGACCAGGATCCATTTAGGAAATGTATTAGTAGATGTTGGTTAGTTGAGCTTTCGGGTGAAGCCCGCCGGGCGGAATAAGTTGTGTGTAAGTCGGGCACCCCCCATTCGGACCACTTGGCAAATCTTGGCCCGCAAACACAACTATCTTCTTCAACACCATATATTGCAGTCTGTCTTATCCCACCACAATACAGGAAGCATCCGATTCTGCACTTTCTGACCCGCTCCCTTCAACTACAGTGTCCTCTATACGACCCGCATCAATTGGAGCCTAGTGGATGTGTTCGATTGAAGCGAACTGAGTGTTGGGATCAGGGACCACCCTCTTCCTTCGCGACGGCCGGGCTGCCTCCAATTGGGCCTTCGAAGTTTCGTTTTCTTGTCGTAGCCGAGCCAATTCAAAGTCCTTCTCGTCAAAAGCCTTTTCAACCTTCTTAAACAAGAGCCGCCGGGTAGAGATATCTTGTCGTCGGATGGCCAAGTGGTTTAGGTGGCCCCGAAGGTCTGTCTTCTTCCGTGGAGTCGTGAATTCGAGATCCTTAGCCATAGTAATAGACTGGCTAGCTGATCATCAATGCCGGGTCCCTGGTTCGAATTCTTGAGCAAGAGACGGCTCATCAGAGGTTTGGCCATACTGACGGGCCATAACTGTCACAAATGAACCAACGAGAGTCAACAACGGCGGCTTACTTGCAGAAGCCAGTGGGGAACGTAGGACGTTCCGAGCCAATCACTTAGGACCAATCGGAACGAGTACTAGAGGTGCTCCAGAGAGCTCTCAGGGGCATGAGAGCACGAGAGAGCAACCAAATGCATCTAGTATATAGTCACTCGTTCTGGAGGACTCTGGGAGTTCTCCAGTAAGCAACTCAAGTGCAAGATTGTCAGTACCCTTGGACATTGCTTGTTGTGAACCCTTTGGCTTCACCGAACCTCACCCCGTTGTCAAGTATAACCTTCAGGAGTCCCTTTCAGAAGTTGGGGCTTTGAGATTCGTCACAATAACCCAGCTGCCCTCCACCCGGCTTTGATAGTATGAGCCGTGATTGCCTCCCGACGGGCCGTCACAAGGCACTTCAACATCATCTGCTTGCCTAAGACCGTTGATTCAGACCAGCTGGTCATTTGGTTGAGGAGCTTGCGGTAGGTGTGCTTCACGGGGGAGAAGACTGATAAATCCAATGGCTGGAGAACGTGGGAGGTATGAGCTGGTAAAAAGAGCAACTGGATATTGTTGCTGAAGCACTCCCACATAAATTCAATGCTTGTATGGCTGTCATGACCGTCCAGTATCAACAGCCGCCTCTAGGAAGGATCCTGCGGCTGGGTCCGAGGGATGAAGACCCGTTGAAGCCATTTCAACGCAACCGCCCTATTCACCCAGCCTTTGTCGGTTGCAGTGAATAGCCAATCCTTCAATTCATCCTTGGCGATAGGGAACCACTGTTGTTGAACGCTCTTGCCCTTGAAAATGACAGCTGGTGGGAGTGCTACCCCTGTCGCAGAGATACACTCTAAGAAGGAGGTCCAGGTGCGCGAACCAGGGACGTTCCTTTGTACTGCGCGTTACGAGCACTTCCAACTACCAAGCCGTTTGTTCCCTGGCCTTCCATAAGGCCAAATTCGTCAAAGCTGTAGCGGTTGGCGGGCAAGATGTCCTTGATGGCTGGGATATTCAGGAGTGGAAACCAGCTGCGGATAACCGGGTCAGTGGCGCCATTGACGGGGGCTAAGTCAATCTTACGGCCTCTCTGAGTTAAGAGTACCGGGTTCCTGCGAAGAAACCGGGTCATCCAGCCCTTCCCGACAGTCGTACGGGTGGCTCCCTGTGCGTGCCTGTAGAATTCGGCTGGCGAACTCTCTGACCTGGGCATGGGTTGGTGCCCGACTTATAGTCCCGGTTGCGGCTCTCTCACCAGGGCTCAACATCAAGCTCTTCACGAAGATCTTCTTCACCAGCAATACATTTGCGTTCTTTTCGGCCAGTTCTTCTTTCCTTGCGCGGCGCGATGCGTAGTTCTACGCCTGACCAGATGGACACGACATTGCTCCGGAGGATGCGGGTTTGTTGAGGCCTGCAGATTGACTGCGATGTCGTCGACTGTTTGGCAAACGACCTTCTTCCCACATTGCGGATCACGACCACGGCAGATGTGACCACGGTTGGTGGTGGAGGTGGATGTCCACCACTTCATTAACCGGGTAGTCGCCCTCTCTCCTTTGTCTTGGATCCTTTAACCTCCAAAAAAATTCATCTGCTCCCACTGTTGATCATCTTCATCCTTTCCACTCCAGCGAATGCATCAGCGATAGGTAGTAAGCGAGGTGAACAAGCATTTATTAGCATGCATAGTGTTGGATTTGGCAGGTGGTCAGAGAGGGCAGTTCAGGGGTGACCAATGGCTTGGCACCAGGATTCTCAGGATCAGGAACAGGCAGGGAACTTCTGGAAGAACACAGACAGGTACATCATCATCAATTGAGTGGTTGCCCATTTTTTTGATACCCAATCACTACGGTGCGACACATTCGTGGCTGTTGGCTTTCCAACAGCTGGCTTGGCCGTCGTGAAAACGCTCGGTTACTAAGAACCTAGCAAGCTGTAGCAGGACGTCTTGGTAGTAGAGATCCGACATCGAAGTATCCTCATCTTCGTCGTCTGATTGTCACGGGTGGGCGCAACTGACCACTGCGTAACACCCTCAAAAGAGGGACCGTGGTTCGAACTGTCCAGTCGAACCAGGAGTTGCGCACATGAACCTCACACTGTCACGACCCGTGACACTGATAGGTCGGAGTCGTCCTGGTCAGTCGCATCGTCATCGTCCTCGTCCTCGTCTTGGTCTTCGTCTTCGTCATCGTCAACAGCGCCTTCTATAGCGTGCCACGCGGAAGATGGCCATGTGAAGGGGGTGGCAGCGTCCTCAGTCTCGGTCTCAGTCTCCGTTTCGAACTGGGAGTGGTAGGTGTCTCCGGAGCCGTCGCTGTCGCCATCACTCCAGCTGCTGGACTCCGCTCCGCTTGCCTTGTCTGCTCTATCGCTTATGTGCTTTGCCGCCTGTCCGTCTCGTGTCCGGCGGGGCTTAGGCTCCCCAAGCGCATGCCAAGCCAGCCGTAAGGCAGCACGCTGGATCTGGCTCAGCCATCTCCGGCACAACGAAGCCCGGGCGGCCTCTGGCAGGCGCCAGAGCCGGAACGAGAAGCACAAGAACCTTAGGAAAAGCCGCCAGTACGCCCGCGCCGTGGTCCGGTGGCCCACGAGCATAAAGGGAGCCTTATACGGACGTATCGGGTGGGAACTACGAAGCCAACACCGGATCGAAACGTCGGTGTACTGCGCCGTGTCCTCACAGCGGCTCCGGAGCCCACGCAATGCCGACGCAACGCGACTCAGCCGATCCTCGTCCTCGCGGGGGCTCCAAATCGCCATCGTATCATCTCCTCCGGCAGGCCCGCTTAGCCGTAGGCCGTGCCCGTCCAGGCAGGGCGGTAGGGCAAGCCTGACGAGAACGTCACGGCTCGCTCCGTCAAAGGTTTCTAGCCAACCGGTCCGCCGCATCCAATTCGTTTGTAGCGCTAGACTAGGCGGGCTCGTGCTACCATCTACCTGCTGGCAGCAGCCCAGCGGCTGGCTAGGCGGTCCCGCTCGGGTCTGGTACAGCTGGTCAAAGGCGGCCCTCTGCTCAATAGTAGCCTGGTCCCGCAGCCAGAGGAGGAGGAGGAAACGCCTTCCAGTCACTCTTGCTCGTGCACGGGCGGTTGTAGGCCCCGTACAGCGATCCAGGACCCGCGAGCGCCGTTTTGCGTCCAGCTCTGTGTAAGGTGACACACACAAGCTCACCAAGGAAGATGCACCGAATCCTCAACAAGCAGCAGGCAAGACGACTGTATTGTGCGTGCACCCCTAACCAACTGACTGATCCTTGAGAGAGGGAAGTTCCAGGTTCCAATCTGAGTCTCCTGCTCTCCAGATATCCTCTCTCTGCTGCGAGTCATGTCGCTGCGCCATGAAATCCACAGTGTCTCGCCCGCCAATTGCCCAAGTGTAGGGCTCACGGTGGGGGCCCTGACACTCTGCAGGACAATGTCCTGGAAGATCTCGTCGCGTAGCCAGCCCGTCTGCCTCGGGTCCCGGCGGCGGTTGTGGGCTTTCGCCAGGTGCCGCGTAATGAGATCCACGCTGGTAGTCCGGTAGGCGCAGTGACGGCAGGCGACGCCTATACGGAAAGCCAACTGCGGGTGGGCCGGTGACCAGCAGGCCACGGACGGTTCGGTCCTCCCGGCAGACCTCGAACCAGCCGCTAGCAGCCCGTGAGGGGAAAAGACGCTGGCATAGCACGCCGTCGATGCACGGGAGCTCCTGGTCGTGCAGCGGCAGCGGACCGGGACCGGCCGGCGGCCTGCCGCTTCTCAGCGGGTTATGCCAGCCATGCAATTTCGGGCGTGCTCCTGGATTTTCTTCGGGGCAGACGATATACGGGCATACGCGGCACTTGAGCCCGTCCGGCCGCGGAGGGCCGAGGAATGGGATCACCTCGGACGTCGGCGGAGGGAATTCGAAGCCGGCCAGGTCCTTCTGCGTCCGGATGATGCCGGGCAGCTGCTGGACCGCGCGGGCGATAGCGTGTCGCTCGGCGACGGGCACATCGGCGTGTCGTGTCCGCAAGTGGGCTGGTACCTCGTTGGCCACACAGGCGAATCGGCGGCGCTTGCAGATTACGACTCGGTGCTGTGGCAGATGGACGAAGGGCTCCATCGCGGATAACTATGGTGGTCTCTCTCTGGGGGCCGTCGCTCTTATCTGCTGTCCGTCCGAACCTCTTTCGCCTTTTTAAAAAAGGAAAAAAAAGAAAAAAAGGAGTCGCGAGAACGCGCTTCGCATCTCCCTCAATTCCCCTGGAACCGTACCCCCGGAACCCTACCCCCCGGGCATCTCTTGGGCTCAACCAATGACAGGGCGGAACTCTACCCCTGGGAAAGCTCCAACACCCTGGACGGAACTCTACCACCCCAGGCGCCAAGAGATGCCTATTTGGGAGAAGCGCGCACGTGGAAGGCCTGTTCGGTGGGGCTTAGTGGGTCCGGGAGGCAGAACTCAACATGGGTGCGGCCAATGGCAAAAAGGAACCGTAGGGGCTGGTTAAGTGGGGCAAATAATGGAACTGCACCCAATTCCGAGCGATGATGCTTCTAGTAGCTCTCAGGAGCATGAGAGAGCACCAGTGCAAGGCCAATCAGAGGACGCTCTAAGAGGCTCTCGAGAGCACCAAAGCCTGGTTATAATGTACGCACTTCCCAGGAGCTTGCAGAATCATCTAATTCAGCTGTTTCTGATGTAATCATTGTTTGTTCCTAGTGTTGTTGTCTTGTAATTAAGGAGCCTATAGGGTAGGCAGAAGTGCGGCGCTCGATTATATGCGGCGCTCGCTTATACTGTACGTTATAGAACCTTCGACTGATAGTTTCCTCTCCTCAACCATGCATCCCAAACCCAATCGGCGCAAGATTCAAGCAATCAGAGTTTTCTTTCCGTCCTCATCCACAAAATATACTTTTACTTCGTCTTCACCCCGAGTGGCGAGGCCGCTTGAATCGGAGGTGTCAAGTAGCAGGCCACCGACATTGTGACACAAAGTGTGAAAGTCCTGCATGGTCTCCGAGTTCCCCGCGTCTCCCTGCGAGCCCGTGCAGGCCACTGCTATGTTGGTCGACTGTAATCCTCGCGAGGTGCAATTTTTGAACGAATCGGCAATTCTCGACGCAGTATCTTTGGGGAGAGGTCCACATCGGGTCCCCGCAACCGCCTCCCCATTCGCGTTGTATTCAGTGAGGGTAACGAAGGAGTCGGCCTCAGGTTGCCAGCCGCGACGCCGCTTATCGTTGTTTACGTATGAACAGCCCGTCGGGCACCCCTGGTACCACCAGCACTCATTAACTAAGAAACGTTTAGCCTTGCTCAGGGCAACGGGACAACAGCGTACGCTGGAAAGAGGTGCCTTACTATACTTGCGAGAGTAACAATTCACAACGTCGCCACGGTATGATGTGCCGCTGTTATAGTCGTAGCCTTCTTGCTGGAAGCCTGTATAGAACCAAGCAGATTAGCATCTGTCGGTAGTATTTCGGCGAGGGCGTGATCACGGCTCCTTGGGTTTGGGCTAGACTTACACCAGGATTTCAGATTTTCGTACTGCTCCTGTGGCCATGACCTTTCGGTTGGTACTGGCAGTACTCGCAGTTTTTAGACCCAATATTGCAGTTGGTGGAACACCAGCCATTTCTTCGTAGTGCAAGGAACTTGGCACACTGGGTGAAATTCTACTGGGAGACTGGGAGAAGAAAACGTACCCGAAGCCGTCGCAAGCTTGGTTGATGCCAGTGAATACACGGTTCCAGTACTCGTTTTCGCACCGACAGTACTCTGTTGCAGTTGCGCTGTGAAGCGCAGTGATAGCAAAGAGGCAGAAGGTCAAGATGAAGTGCATGTTGCCGATCGTCAAGATCAATCTTGTGAAAGCTTGAGGATGGGAAGCGTGAGAATTATGGAATGTCTGTCAAGATTCTATCTCATATATATATCCCCTCGTCCTGTTAAACTCGACAGGTAACCGGCAAGTCGCGACACCAACATACACACGCCCATGAAGCGGCCCCTTCTTCGGACTCGAGCAAGCTAATCCCAATACAATCATCGATTCCAAGTTTTAAGTTCGGAGTTCAGGACACTCGGCGAGACATTGATTTCAGTCACAAAGATCGTCTTGCGTGGCTTGATTCTACTCGACACTCGGCTGAACAACAATATGCTAATTTCCCTGAATACAATGAATGATTTCCTGTTTGGAGTTTGGGATGCTTGGTGTGGTGAGCTGTCACAGAGCGGCTTGCATCGCTAGAATGCTATGCAACAATCGGCCCAACATCAGCAAGCTAACTTCCCTGAATACAACCAACGATTTTCAATTTGGAGTTTTGGCATGCTTGGTGTAGTGAGACATTTGTCTTAGTTCAGGTACTGATCGTCGGATTTCCCTCAACGCAATTGCTAGTCCGGAGTCTAAGACATTCAATATGACATCATTCTGTTTCAGTCACAGATCCCTTGCCTCGGTAGATTCTCTTTGCTTGATCAGCCCTTGATGTCTCAGGTAAATTTTGCATGCTCCAGTGTGCTGACAGGGACTGGATAAAGGATCGTCAATGTGTCGATTGATAGTTGGCCCACTGCCTGTGAGCTAGGGTTAGCGACGAGACTGCGAATCATTCCTCGTCCGATTAGTCCCGCTGCTCTCTGAGATCATAGAGCACTGCGGTACGCTCTGCATTGGCTCCCTTTTGTCAAAGGTCTCAGTAAAGCCGTATCCTTGTCAGCAACGCCAACACGATACGGGCGTGGCTACCTGCCTACGGTGCCTCGCTCAAATCTTGCTGCAATTCGGAGGCGGTGTGCGCTCACCGTGTCGATCAGACCCGTCGAGGGGCCAGATGGGCCATGTCTCAACGAGGCCGAGGTCATGTTGAAGCCGACGATCGGAGATCAAGAACACGTTCAACAATATGGCATCACATTGGAGTGTTTCCTGACATGCCGGGTCTCCCTCAAACCCTGCTGCTGATCTGATCCACAGGCACGCTATTGACAGAGGACGAGCTGGAATATATATTTTGGGTCTACCGTGGGGAGCGCTCCAGGACTTGGCAGCCACGTAGCGCGCTTAGCACCCCTGATGATTTGCTGTCGGACTACCACTTGGATGCGGGCATGTGGAGCAGGCCGCCTTACGTACCCAAGGCAGACGCAGTCATGATGGTGAGGAAGGCGAAGCTCTAAATTCGACTCATGGCGCCAACCTGCACAGCCTTGTCAGCGTTGCTGTTTTGAAGGATGCCGAGCGCGTCGATCCACAGGTAGCGGAACCCCACCAACCGGGTCAGCAGGATGGAGTCGGCGTAGTCGGGAGCAGCGCCTCGCCGGCCATGGACCCCGGTTTGGCCAAGGCGTCGGCGGTGGTGGTGTCGAGCCTCAGGTGCTGGACGGCAACGCCCCAGACGTAGCTGAGGGCTATGTACTTCTGCTTTGCGAGGTTGATGCCTTCTAAGGTGGCGATGCACATTTGCTCCACGTCGATGAAGCGGATCATCTTGAGATTCTGGGACGACTCAATATCGGCTCGGTCGCACTCAACGCCGTGGCTAGCTTTGCTGGGGCTCACCCAAGGCCGCACACAGTTGATATCGAGCCCGCAGCGGCCGGCGGCGGCCGTTAAACATCATCCTGCCGGCGCCTGGTCGAGGGTCCGCCAGCCGCTCATTCGCCTAGGCGAATGCGGCGCCACAGTTGCATAGCAGAAAGGCAAAAAAGTAGAACCCTTCTTGGACCCCACGCTGCAGTTCGGGGTCGGCATAGCCAACAAAGATGGACAAGCGGCGGAAGGTGTGCCCCTTGTTCTTGCGGTCGCGGAACTGGCCGAAGTGCGACAAATCGACCCGACAAGGGTCGTCATCGTGCGGGCGATGCGGCATGTACCGGAGAAGAGCATGATCAGCCGATAGATGGAGCACGTCCCGCGCCACTGGAGAATCGAAGCGAAGGTGCCAAGCGGGGGTGTATATGGCAGGTTTGTGGGCCGGGGATCTACATCAGGGGCTGCTGTGGACGGTCGAGGGCGCGATCCAGCCTGGTGAGCAGCGGTTTTGGGTGCCCAGCTGGCCGTAGGCGTCGGTGAACCTGACGAGTATCAAGTTTCACCACATCCCGCAGCCGAAATATGGGGTGTGGGATAAGGGTTGGTTGGGGTTGGAAGCAGTTGAAGCGGAGCAATCTACCACTAATGCGTATGGAGAAGTTGATGGCGGGATGCTCAAAGTCAGAGGCTATCTGCGGCAGCTTCAGTTGGCGGGTGCTTCCGTGGCGGGGAATGTCTACAAGTACCGGAAGAACTTGCTCGTGAACCCTGCGACGCAAGAGTCGGTCGGGGACATCTTTCTGGACTTTCCACGCATGAGCACCGATCTGCCGCTGGACGTCTGGTGTATGCCTGTGCTACATTTTGGACCGGGAAGGGCCAGCCTGGCGTCGATTTGTCTTGCGCTTGTCCCCGTGTTGGACGACGAGGATGAGCAGCAGATGTACAAGCGCGTTGGACTGGTCAAGATTACGAACAAGAAGTGGGATAGGAACTTCTTTCCTGCTATTGGGCAACGGATAATTTCTTTTAGCTGGTCTACACCAACCAAGAATTGCTCAAAATTGTCGTCTCCAAATCCTCCCTCGTCGAGGCGATTCCCGTTCTTGGCAAGCCGCTCACAGTCCTTCTACAACGGTTCGAACTTTTTGCCGACGCAAGTACCCGTTTAATTCACCGTACGCTTCGCGAGCACTGCTAACATGCTATTGATTCGACAGGCCATTGCTCGCGTTGCCGTCAAATACGCCAAGAACTGGGTTGAGGAATTCAAGAAGGCCCAGGCCGGCCCCCCGGGTCCTCCCGAACCCGATACTGCCGACCCCCCCGCTGCCGAGCCCCCCAAGGTTGACCCTCCCATCGTCGCGAAGCCCGCCGGTGTCCCTGCGGTCAAGCGGGCAACGGTTTTTGTCGGTTAAAGGCTTGGACAGCGGGAAATCTCGCGTACCCGGCGCTTGCTTGGGCAGCTGGTATCTAGGGTGCGCTGATGATAGGGCCTTGATACAGGGCGACGTGTAGGAGGATGTAATGCGGAGGATGAGAACGAGTGTGGATAGGGTATGGTTCAGAAGTACATACCTAATAAGTAATGGTTACGCGCAATGCAGGACACAGCGCTCGGTTGCATGATCAAGCCACTTCAAATGTGCCCGCTCATAAAACCTTATGCTATCTCGCCGTTTTCGCATCCGGCGTTTCTGGCCCGCCTGATTGTCACGGGTCGTGACAGTGTGAGGTTCATGTGCGCAATGTCACGACCCGTGACACTGATACTCCATGTCGGATTGCCCATTTCGGTGAAGGTTATAAAGTAGCCAAGCGCAGAGGTTCTGGAAAACCAGACCTGCATAGTACAGCTCCTATGTTTGGTACTGTAAAAACAGAGGTGTTCGGTGATAGGAACCGCGCTCAGGGATAAGAGACATGGGTTCAGGAGGGTACAAAGTACACATAGTCTGGGTAATTCCTAGGTGCACATGTGGGAAAGCAAAAGTCAACCCGGAGTTTCAAAAGGGCACTGAAAGATACTCTCTACAACTCCTATTCCTACGGGATCTCACAGGCCGTCTCAGGGCAGTACCCGTAATTTCACGCATAGCTGCACAGCCCATCATAGCTCTCATCCAGCCCATCCAACGGGACCCCCGGTGTGCCCGTGACAGGAGGCTCCTCGATCTAGGGGCCGTACAGGGTGCACGTACACGGGCCCGGCGGACAGTATCCGTACATGCAGCAGATAGGAGTCGAATCTATGCTACAGTAAGGTTGTGGGACAGCAACAATTATAGGCCCAAATAGGAATAGACCAACCAGGTGACACTGCATCAATTGAGGTACAAGATGAAGCTTGAATTCGCTGTCTGAACCATACATCATATATGTATGTTGCTTGAAAGAACCGAGGGCTTCGGGACCCTCGTCAGACCCTGCTTTTGGGTGGGTGACGAGTCTTCCACTCTTACTGCATGGGGCAACAGTGCCCAGCCCCTGAATCCAGGTGCCAAGGAGCCAGTTCAGTTCAACAGGTCGAGGATGCTTCATTTCGAGACGACCGGAATCGGGGGCGCCAAGACCGTCTTACATCGGGGAGCCCTTGTTGAGGTCACAATGAGGTGTCTTGCATGTGCGTTAGGGAGTTATGCTTAAGCGTTATGGCACAGTTTATGGCTTTACGGGACAGCCTTAGTCACTTTCGTATAAATCAACAACCCCATGACGACCTCAGCTTCTTCAAACCTTCCACATCTTCGCATCAAATTCGCATTTCAAGCCTTCAATTCAGAAGTCAAAAGTTCCGCCGCCTGGAGAAAGTCACGCTTCCATCCTCTTCACATATACCTCACCATACCCCCAAAATGTCCGCCTCTTCCCCTTTGCTGAGCAACAGCGGCGACAGCTCCCGCAACCCCGCCAGGGCAAACCACACAAACGCGGCCGCCCCTTCACCCCTCGCCAAAGGCCTCCTCACCTTTCTCGGCGTCGGCCGCGTCGTCTTTGGGGCCGGCTGCCTCCTTGCCCCAGCCCTGACCCTGAGCATACTCGGTGTCTCGACCTTGTCCGCCGAAGCGGCTCTCATCACGCGCATGTTCGGCGCACGCGAGATTGTCATTGGCAAGGGACTTCTGCTTGCGGAGCGCAGCGCGGGTTTCGCCAGACGTGGCAACACGGCTGCTGATACTGGGGTTCAATTTGCGAGCCGCGAGGGAGTATGTCGTGCGATATGGGTTGGTGTCGCCGCGGACGGGTTGGATGCGCTTGCTCTTGTTGCTACGTTTGCGATGGGTTCGTCGGTGGATGGGATCGCGATAGCTAGGATGTTGGGGGCGGCGTTGATTATGGTTGTTACGGGTTTAGAGACGGCTTGGTTGTACCCATGAAAGGATACATTTGTAGTATAGCGCGTATTGATATTTGGAACGTAGAACATGGCGTTGCCATGTTTCATTTAGAGTGTTGTTGACCTGCGTAGCCTAAACAAGCATTTTCGCGCCCCTATCACCACCTCCCTCCCTATCTACGTAACGAGCACCTCTTCTCTAGCCCAAATCCTGGAATCCGACATACCAATATAGGTGGTATTATTGTTTTCATCTTGAACAAAGACTAAGTCACTAAGATACTTCAAGGGGCTACCCGGTTATACACGGCTCTGTGGGTAACGCGCACTTCACCTTGATCAAGATGGTTCTTCTAACATCATACCGCTTGCCGTCACGGAACGCAAAGCCCTATGCCTGTTGCAACCTGTACCCGCCTTGATCGCTCGCTTCCGGCACCACGATATTGGCAGGGGATCCCTCGGCCTCCTCATCCATTGAGTCTTGTCTCAGGTAGCGGTTAACATCAGTACGCTGTGGCGACGCTAGGGCCGGGGCACTCGCTTTTCAAGTCGAACCACTGCGTTCGAAAACGCTGCGGCCCAAAGACGGCAGACTAGTGTGTATACTTGACGCCGTCGACCCGGTATACCTCGGTTTCTCCCTTGATACCGCCGGTTGCCCTTTGCTCGATTGTTATAGTGGTGTACCCGCCACACGAGCCGTCTGACAGCTCGTGATACTCGCGATGCTGGGCTCCGAGGCGGCTACAAGAGGGGCTTCCATACTCCGGCGAGCGCGGACGTCGGAGAATACTAACGGCCCGGCTCCTTGCAATACAAGGTGCCTCAGCAAGCACCGTCGCTGCGGTGCGGGTCTAATTGGATACTAGAGCTGATGTAGAGGCCGCACTGGGTGCATTGGATAATACCAGAACATCGAGACCCCAACCAATATCAAGTTCGCACCTGAGGTAGTTCTTTTGTCTGTCATATTAAAGTGGCAAGCCATTCCCTGTTTCAGTTCCCTCATGCTGTCCTTTGGGATCAACTTCTCCGCGGATAATGTGCAAGTGCCTGTCCATATACTGGAAGATTCTTTATGCTAGCGATCCCCAAGCGCCAATTTTGGCCGTCAGTCCACCGTTCCCAATCTCGCCCGGAATCCACATCTCCTTGTTATCCTCAGGGACCTGGGACAAAGCATTATATATGGCAATTGATATACGGGCAGGGCACAATTGATACACGGGCAGGGCGTTATCCGGGCAGGGCAATGCGGAAGCTCCTATTGGCTCAAAATTTTCGACAGCTGCTACCATCTCCCCACTTAAAGCGGTGAAGGCCAAGTCACGAACACTAACACCATTTCCTCTGCCTTTGTGACAAATCGACAAGCCCCTACTTCTGAAAGGGACTCCTGAAGGTATCACTGGGGTCGGGGTGAAGATCTAGTGAAGCCAAAGGGTTCACAACAAACGCACAAGCAAGTGTTCACACAGTAGTCGAGACAACTGCTTGCATTGCTTACTGAGGAAGCTATCGTAAGTACCCGCAGGCGTAGAGAGCGTGAACTTAAATACAAGCTTCCTCGTCCCGATGCTCTGCCCGCTCTGTCACGGATCCTACAGAGCATCCAGGTGCTCTGTGTGCTCTCACAAGGAGCACCCAGATCACTGCACCCTGCTCCGTGTGCTTTTCCGGAGAGCACCCAGAATGCCTCAGTGATTGGTCCGGGACGCCCGCGTCCCACGCTCGCATGACCGTTCTTTCTGCGGCATTTCGTTGGTTAATTCGTGACAGCCTTCCAGATTTCA